TCTGGGTTAAAAACTGCAGGTTGGTGTGTTGCTTCAGGCACAAGTGAGAAGATGAAACACAGAACAAGATTAGTTCATGTAGAACTGTAGATCCATGATTGTAGAGGTTTATCAGAAGCAAAAACACGGCCAATAATTATGAGTGGTCACATTGATTACAGAATAATTTAACAGGAATACTTGCACACATTTGATTGGCCCGACTCAGTGTTTTGCTGGATGATGTTGTACTGTGTGGACGGTTCTACTGTGTTAATTGATGCAGGTCTAAAGCTGAGGTAGTGGTCTCAGACTTTTGGATCCCCTGTAAATCAAAAACAAAATGTTTTCATTTATACACATACTCTGCTTGTCTAAATCACTGTCACAAAATGATGTCAAAAGAAGAACATCAATTAAAACTAACATATAAGGGTCAATGGGTCAATGACGTGATGCCCAAATTTTCTGTCCAAGTTCAATTTTTCATTTAAAAAAGGTTTAAAAAAAAAAAATATATATATATATACAGTATGTACTCACTTTTCAAAAAACTTCAGTCATTTGTAATTTTTCAATTAGTGTCAAAATGTGCCTCCAATAACAGCAATAACTATGAAATGAAAAATGAAATATCACAGTATACTTAAGTGGATGGTATTTTTTAAACATTTTTATCAGTTTTTTTTATCAGTTTATCAGTTTTATTAGTCAGTTTATGGGGAAAAATAAGTCTATTCAGTACATTTAACATGGCTACTGTGACATTGTACAACAAAAATATGAGACCATTATTTACAAAAACTCAAAAGAAATGAAAACTTTGTTTCTAAACACTTTATATAACTGAGAACCTGTAGAAAATGTTACGCATGTTAAGGAAATGAAACTATTGTAGGATAAATCACGGTTGCACCACATGACATTTTTAAAGGCCACAGCGAATTCATCTAAAAAACACTAAAATCACTTCATTTAGAATTTTAATGAGTTTATGTGTACACAACACTTGTACACAGTTGAAAATCTTTATACATCATTGATCCAATCATACAATCAATCAATTAAAGTAAAACAGAGGTTTAAACATTTGAGATTATGGATTTAAAGTGACCAAGAGCTACCAATGAATTTTTAAAGTGCTTTGTAGTGAGTTCCAGGTGGACGATGCAGAGAAGCCAAAAGCAGTCCGTCCAAGTTCAGTATTAACTTCAGGGACATGGAGCATCAGCCTGTCATTAGTCATTAATTAATTAATTTACTCAACAGTTTTGATGTATGATTTTTGAAGGATAACTAACCATGTTAGTGATGATGAGATTATTCAAATCAATATTTTATATGTCAATATATCTTGCCTCACACATACACTGGACTAACAGACTCAGCAAAGAGATATAGAGATGTTCATGGTGGTTCACAGTTTATGTGTGTGTGATGAAGAAACCGTATGAAGAGGCAGGTTGGCCACTGAAACAGGCCAGTGTGCAGGATAAGCCTCAGCCCGACATGATCTGTCTCATGTAGACATGACACGACTGCAGACAGCACACAGCCCAACACTTTAATCCCTTTATCACTGTTTTATCACGGAAGAACTTCCAGTTAAGTGACCTAATATACTGTAACTGAATATACACACCGACTCAAATTGACTCACAGCTGGGTTACACATTGCATTTCACCACATGTTCTTTTAGTATCCCTACATAATCTAATATAAATGCAAACTGTGCTAAAATACAGAGGGAAGAGACTACAGCAGCAGATCTGCTGTTCTGTCCTTGAGGTTCCTTCCTAATCAGTAACAGATACAGATGGAGCGGTGAACCACACAAGGAGTGAGTAATAAAAATGACAGTTAATGTTGTTGTTAGTTAACACCATCTATTAGTCATCCATCTGAAAGACAGTACTCATTGCATCTGTGTCATGATCTATGTGGCACAGATTTATCTATTTTTTGTTGTCAGCATTAGAAATAAGTTTCCTGTTTACCACGATGAGCTGATCAGGATGTGACACTCACAGCAGAGACATGACTTATGACTGTGTGAGCAAGGATGGAAAACACTTTCCTACACTGGCCTTCCTAACTGGCAGTACCACCTTAAATCTAATCACAGTTCAAACATGAATCATGCAGACTGTATAGATGTTGATCTGACTGCTACAGTGAACATTTTGACACTATGGTCTGTGGCTTAATACTTTAGCACCTTAGGGCCTAAATTTAGGTTTTGATCGTAAAACTTTCTTGTAAGTGCTAATAGTTGAAAAATACAAATTACTTTTACCAAATATGATTGAAAGATTATTTTTTACAGACATATTAATGAATATGACGGTCCTTTTCAAAAATCTCCCTTTTCTGCCTCCTCATTGATTGTAATCTTTTTTGTTGCAGGTGTCAGTAAACACTAAGCCAGTTGTTAGACTGAGCTTGCCTGCTAACCAGAAAGTCTTGGGCATGTATGATATTGCTATCTTCTTCTTTTATTTTCCTATCTAGTCATTTTCTAAATCTTTCTATGTATTTTGCTATTTAGTTGTTTATATTATTTGATTTACAAATCATATTTGACTTGCCTTTTGATTAGTTGTATTCCATGTGTGTCTATATGACTTTGGACTTTGACTCAAGCTGTGCTCTTTCTATAAATGGTAAATGGACTTGCACTTAGAAAGTGCTTTACAATACTTGCCACATTCACACATCACACTCATACAGTGACGGAACAGCCATCAGGGGAAATGTGGGGTCAGTGTCTTGCCCAGGGACACTTCGACATGTGGCCTGGAGGAGCCGGGGATCAAACCACCAACCTTCTAATTAGTGGATGACCTGCTCTACTTCCTAGGCCACAGCTGCCTATAGAGGCATGCTCCATCCACCATGTGTTAGGATCAGACATTGTTGTCCAGCTCTGCTCTGATTTGTTCAGTCTGAGGGCAATCTAAGTCTCAATCATGTAGATCACAGTCACCTGTGTGATGAGCCTGTGTCTAAAGCCTGCTCTGTTTTGTGAGGGTGATTTGCCAGTGCCTGACGAAGATCCTTGCGGATCAAAATGTTGCTGTTTTATTAAAATTCCTGGAGCTATTAGCATAGTGTGTGGATCTTTTTTCTTACTTTTGCCTTTAGTTTAATCATTTTGATCCAGCACCTGTGAAAGTGCTTTTGGATGTGCAAGCTTTACACCCTATTTGTCCTATGGCCTGTAACACATATGAAATATAATAATGTAAACCAGAAAAAAAACACCTGTTCTGCAGTAGGACTTTATGTCAACATCTAGTGGTAAGATCCTCATTTGCAAAATAAATGGATTTATGCTTTGGGTGGTGTTAAAAGCACATTTTTGCCCAGAGCCCACAAGCAGATTAATCTGACCATTGTATATAGGGGTTCATGTTAATGTCAGTGTTAAGGAGAGAACTGTCAGTCATCTATTGTAAAGTGCAGCTTATTGGAATGACTTCCAAACAAATGCCTATTGAGGCCCAGTGAGAAAGAGAAAATGGTTGAGATGGCTGTGCCAGGTTGTAGTTCCATGACTTGGCAGACATAAAGAGGTGTTAGGAGGGTGCCAGAGAAGTTACCCGCTTCACTAGAACTCCAGTATTAGGGATTAGATTTGGACACAAGCCCAGAAATGTGAATTCTTGGGGAAACAAAAGACCTGACCTGAGTCTCTGCATCATACATGCTTCAGGAGTTGAAGGGGAAACAAGGCAGTGGATATGATGAACTATTTGATAAACTATGCTTTTAGTTTTATTCAGTCTAAATTGTAAGGTTAAGTTTACACTGCAGGAAATACTACCCTTCCCATACAGAAATGTAACATATGACATGCATCACCCTTTATCAAGGCTGATGTTGCCATAGATTATCACATACTGTATATACATCCCCTGGATATATGAAGATATAATAATACCCATACCCATAGTAAAGTTTTATATGTACATTCATTTAAATTATTTATATGATGAATTTGTATATGATATAACATGTTGTGACCATATATGTCAACTAATGTATATTTAATTTATATATGCAAGTTCATTAAAACAACATACATATAAACATTCTACTTATCTTATATATGTATTTATTATTAATTTCTCAATCATTTTAAACATGTCTATAAATTGTCACAGACTCATGGAACCCACTGTATATATCTATATATATTGATGGGCTTTGGGATGGACACATATTTATGTAACATATGTGTACAATATAAGCATACGTACATATACATACATATTTGTATGGGCTAAACATATATGTCAATATATGAAATTGTTCCAATTTCTAATAGGTTTCATATATCATTTTTACATGTTTTTTTATTTTATTTGTACGTCTTATATATGGGACTAATGAAAACTCACTATCAAGCTGCATTGTGTGAAGTGTAGGATCAAGTGTTTCAGGGAAAGAAGAATCAAAACTATGTGCAAGAAATCATATCAAATTCGTTATGTGTTTGCCCTCTGGTGGTGATTATTCCTCAGCGCATTTCAGCAAGCTGCTGTACCTGACCCCTTATTATCTCGCGTGGTTTAATAAGCGCGCTACTGTCAGAGAGAAAGTCGTCCTTGCATTGAATACAGAGTTTGAAATTGTGGCTCCACCGAACCTCACGATAACCCACTACCAAATATCTGACACCGCCGCTGTGCAGATATAACGGAACCACTGACAGAGCCAGACATAAGTAGCCCAGCCCGAGTAATATATTTCACACCGTCCCACATTGTGCGCGACACCGGAAGCTACTTTACCTGTGAAGTTTGACATTTGATTACCACAGTGTTGCCTCACAGGCAAATTAAGACTTGTGAAGAGAAAAATGCCAAGCAAAAAATGAATTAATGTGTATGTGTGGCGGTATGATACTGACTTTCTTCTCTGAACGCGCTCAATTCATTCATGTTGTTTCCGGGGCAGAGTTAGCAAACGCTCCTACGCCGCCTCCTGTAAGACAGAGCGAAGGGTGAAACAGAAACACCAGACCAGGATAGCGTTTCCATTATCTTTTGGTTTTCAAGCTGTCAGATCCTGCTATCATTGTATCCCACCACCTAGCCTAAAAACTCTCTTCTTGGGAAATGTATAGAACACTATTCCATTACAGACATTATGTAGTTCGCAATTAACAGAATCAAGTCCTCTCATCATGGTGGTTAGCTAACGTTAGCTACGGAGCTAGGTTACTTGGACAATCCTTTCAACTTGCTTGCTGACAGGTTAGCTTACGACAGCTAACTTCGATATGTGAACTCACTAAGCCAAGGAAAGTGGCGATAAAGGAACTCCCTGCAACTCCCAGGTTGATGGACATTTTGAGTTAATATTTTAAAATGTAATTTTATTTACTAGCAGATGCTGTTCATTCATTTTTTGGGAGGGGTGTTACCAGTCGTAGCTAACTTGCTATTAAATTGTAGTAGTGTTACTTAGCTAACGTTAGCTGCAAAAGTTGCTAACTAGCCAAGTAGCTAATTTAGACATGAATGCATAAGCAGATACAGTTGCTCGTAAAGTTGATTACCTCTAGATTAGTTATGTTATTAAATGAAACATGTACCAGATACATACATGGATTACATAGGACGCCAGCATTGTTTTTATAGCCCATCCATAGCTAAGTGAGCTGTCTGAAGCCTGCTGCTAAAGCCTTCAGCTGTTTTTGTTTTTATTTTACAGTCACAACTTACTGACAGCATTTAAATTGTACAAATACAAATGTGTGTCCGCAGTTTAATTTACATATCAGCCGGGTGACATTGCTGGCTCATGAATATAATATGTTCTCCAACTAAGTAACTAACTGAAATACTGACTCATGGATTTTGAACTACACATTGTTGACAGTTTATCACAGCTAAAACCATATGCCGCTGTGTCTGCTATTATCCAACAAAACTTCAAAAATATTCTTTCTAGCCACATTTATGGATTCTGAAGCTACTACAAATTGGTATCGTGATTAATTTGATAACTCATACATCACCATACATCATCTTAAAGTTTACAGTGAGATGACACGACACAGAAGACAACATCTGTTACCAGCAAATGTTTGGACATTTTATTGATTTAATTGAGTGAAATAACTATAATAATAATAATAGTCTGAATAATTACTGAAATATATTTTCAAAAATGATCATTTATCAATTTTCAAAATCAGCAAATCTCCCAACAATAATCTGTGTAACTTTCATTTTTGCATGAGATGCTGTTGTTGTCATTCAAAGTGGTTCAAGCGATTTCAGTTATCTGATACTAATTAATACTGATGGAACAGGAACTTATTAATCTATAGTAATATAGCAAGATCTTCACTGATGTAGTTGACATTTGGTAATATTTTGTATCTGTATTATGTTGTTTTATGTCATAAAATTCACAGCTAAACAACCCATAGTTATTAAACATTAAAATTTACACCTCACACTCCATTATTTGTTTCATCTAATTCAGAATTGATTATTAATTGATTGATCAATAAACAGTAAATAATTCAATAACAAATTTGATTAAAGTAAAACTGTAATACATTTGCTATAACTCTGGCTGGGTATCGATCTTAGATACTTTTATGGGCTGAACAAATTGGATTGATTCTATCAAGGATGGAAAAATACTTTCTCATTCAATACCAAATGTTGATACCTTAGGAGTAAATGAGTAAATCTCATTAGCCAATCAGCATGCAGCATGCTTGGACCAAGATCTAATAATGCTGGTGATGGGCTGTTTATTTATACAAACATGTCTGAGTGAGTGAAGAGACCGAGCTTCAAAATTAAACTGAAGTAAAACTAAAATTTGTACTATAATGCGTGTTGTGATTTTCTTTTTGATACAAGGGATTTGATCAAATTGATATTGGAAAAAGGTATTGTTAAGAATCGGTATCAAAACCAAGGTGTCTGTATCAGTACTGATATCTACAATTTTTGAATGATACCGAGCAAATTGAATATCTCTGGGATTTTTTTATTGGTCAGGAAAACGCAGCATGTTTGAAGACAACACTTTGGGATCATTTTTATTCCATATATAATATTTATCAGATTCCTACTCTGGCTGCTGGAGATAATCATGTCGTCTCGTGTAACGTTCATAATGGGCTGAATTAAGACCCGTCATTGTTCTTGCAGGTGTTGCAGGTTGCTCTCATGTGCCCATGGAGAAGGCAGCCTTTGAGGGGTGGCTGGAGTCAGTCTCTGCCACTTTCCTTACTCTAAATGACCAGCAGCGCAACCATTCTCTGGACCACCTCATATCTTTAAGTGGTGCTGTCCAGCTCCGTCATCTGTCTAATGGGCTGGAGACGCTGCTCAAGCGTGACTTCCTGCGCCTCCTTCCCCTGGAGCTGGCCTTCTACCTGCTGCGCTGGCTGGACCCTCAGACCCTGCTCACCTGCTGCCTGGTCTGCAAGCAGTGGAATAAGGTAAATATCATGCTCCCTGATGTCTGGTAGTGTTAACCGGGTGCTTCTCATTTCCCTTAAATGTCTCCCTCCCATGAAACACACAAGGAAAACATTTATGAGACGTTCCTCCCTTACAGGCATCATCTGAAGCAACGTCACTTCTTGATTAAGGTGGCCCAGCTCAATCACCTGGCAGTTCACTTGAAGTGTTCTGCGTTGATATTTAGCTCGTAAATGTATCCAGGTATGGACTTGTATGTCCCACATGTAGAAATAACTAAACATTGTAAGGAAAATGGAAACAAAAATCAGGATAGTTTCAACTACATGTATGGTAACTGATTTCATATATGCATCATATATGACTGAATGTAAATGACACGTGTGTTTATTACTAAGACAGGCAGCAACAACAAGTTAGAATATTGTAAATAAAGTCTAGACTCTCCCTAATGACCCAGGATGCAGGTTATAAAGAATTTAAAAAGAAAAATGTCCATGAATGATGAGAAACAAAGAGAACATGAAAGTAATGTCATGCTTTATTTGTCAATCTGGACTGCAGTTAACACAGGTGCGCTACTTTGAATTGTAAAAGTAAAAATTTAGAATACAGCCAATAGACCATTTCAATCCAATAGATATTTTACACAGAGGATGGTCATTACATTAAATCACGGAGCATAGACAGTTATTGTGTGGTGTTCTTTGACCTTCACTGCTCATGAACTCAGTTTTCATTGATGCTGCTGCACAAATGACTTTTTACCCACACCGACTGTGTCGGTGCAAATAAAATTTCTGTCTTTGCTTGTAAAAGGCAAGGTATTCTGGGTAATTTCAAATCACTTTTTTCTTTTTTTATGTTGACAGAAATATACCAATAGCACATAGGATCAAAAGCTAGCACCAAATGTCATCATGATTTCGATCTAAATTTCAAATAAATTGAAAAGAGACAAGAAGGTACCAAAAATAGTGTACTCTAGTGTACACTAGTTTCAAAAGTTGCAGTTACAAGATGTTTTAATTGCTCCAAATAGGCAGGAAATGTATTTATTTAACAACAAAAAAGATTGATCACTGGTTAAATGAAGAGAACTTACTGACATGATAGTTTCAGAATATAAACACCACATTGACAAAACAATGCACAGAAACTTACAAGTACTGTGCAGCAGCTTTACTGAAAGTGCCTCCATGTCTGTCTCCTCGCAGGTGATAAACTCGTGCACAGAGGTGTGGCAGGGAGTGTGTCGGGAGCTGGGCTGGAGGATTGATGAGTCCATTCAGGATGCATCACACTGGAAGGGGGTCTACCTGAAGGCTAAACTGCGCATGATGCAGCTGAAGGACCAGGAGGCGTTTGAGACATCGTCCCTCATCGGCCATAGTGCTCGAGTATACGCCCTCTACTATAAGGACGGCCTCCTCTGCACAGGTACATTGTCGCTCTGGTTTATTTTCAATGTGGGAAAGAATCAGAGTTAGAATCAGCCTCGAGTTACACACAGTACCATGGGGTCCAAAACTCTGAGACCACTTTCCACTGTAGAAGTGTTGAAAATGTTCTCATCTCTGACCACAGGGTCGGATCCATCTTATTTTCTCTGTGACAGTTTAAATGTCAGTGTAGCTGCTGTCATGAACCTGTGTTCATAAATGATGATTTTATCTGCAGCAGAGCAGCTTGGTAATAACTGCTAGTTAGTAAATGCTTGATGGTGTTTATGAGCTGATCTGAACTGAACTGCATCGAACCCTGTTGAAAGCTGAACAGAGGTTTGAACGAGACTGTTCCACTTCTCTCTCTCTCTCACTCACTCTCTCTCTTTCTCATAAAATATAGTCAAAGTCAGTGACAAATGAAATGCATAATTTGTCTGGCTGCTTAAAGACAGCGGAGTGGGGAAAGGGTGATGTGATGTGAATGTGTAGAATGTGGTGCAGCTGGATGCTATGGATATTGGAGAGCAGGCATTATTTGGAGCTTTTGTCAGATTGCACGGTATGTGTTCATTTTCCGTCCGCTGTTGCAACATAATCTATGGAAGCTCAGTGTATTTGAAATCGGTGCCCGCTCACCACTTGCTGTGACATCAAGTGAGCTGTGGACCTGCTGCTGATGATTACGTCCTTTTATGATTACGCCATTTTAGAAAAATATACTTTTGCTGGGGCTCCACACACATGGTTCACCTACACTAGCGTTGTGTCGTCATATCCATAGTCAGAGCGTCCTATCGTTACCTAATGAGAGAGAGAGGAAAGCGCATGTTGAATTTTGCTCATTACTCTCTGGCTCTTTCTGGGATACCCTGAGTGGTGACAGTAGTCATGCATTTTATGGCTGTGCTAAAATTAAACAAAGTTGTCATCACAAACAAAGCATTAATTATGTAAGTTTAATAATCAGAGCATTCACACTAATCAGCAGGAGGAAGTGTGTAGAAACAGCTGTTTATGGCTGTCAGCTCTCTCTCTTTCTCTTGTTGACCGTCCCTTCTCTTCCCTGTTAGAACCCAAAGTTCTTTTTACAACAGCAACTTAGAAACACAACTAAGTGACACGGTCTGTCTATCAATCTCTGTTGAATCCCAGCGCGGCACCGACACGCAGCAAACAGTGCTTCAATGACAATCACCTGCTCAAACTATGGAAGGGCAAATAAAATGTAATATTAATTTATTACTACAAATAATTACATCAATATTAAGTTTCTACATTAATGAGAAAACAAGCCAAATATTGCCTTAATATTGGAAAAGGCGTGAGCTATCGGTGATCACTCTCACAGAGTTCAATTTCCACTGGCACAACTCTAACCTACACCCTTCAATTTATTTAAGCTTTCACTTATTTTGACCAGTTGACTGTTGGGGAGGACACACTATCATCTTCCGGATTTGTTATCTTTCTCGTAGCAGATATTTTGACAGAAAAGTCTGCTGGGGAAACGCTTGAGAGTGGCTGCATTCCATTTAGGTGTGTCAGTTTCAGGGCCTAGATATTGTGCATGTTAGCTCATTTGAATGTCTTATACACTTTTTCCACCAAAATTAGCAGGTATATGCAGGTTTTTTAAACACGGGTAAAGCCGCTAATAAAAGCCGTATTGTCCCCTTTTCCACTGCCGGTCCTGTTTGCCCTTCAGTTCAGACTGAGGACACGAGCAACTGCAAGGAGCGATGTCATCACATGCAGTTACAGAGCACACACACAGACGTCCTATGTAGGGATCGAAAATTAGTGCGTTCACGCTGGTGTTGTGTTTACATAAATGCTGATCAGAGCAGGAGCGTGTACTGCAGAGTCATGTGACCCGGGTGTGAATGTTGATTGTTGTTGTTTTATGTTAAAAATGGCTCTTAACATTTCTTAATAACTGTAACCTTTCCACATTGAAATTTAAGCCATTATAACTCCGTGTTCAGCAGTGTTTATTAATCCTGTACTACACACTGACTGCATACAGTATCCGTATCTGTGTACTATATGTTTCTGCAGTTAGTACAAAAACAAATCAATACACTTAACAGCTTTATAGTCTTACTTATTTGTTGATCTGATCACCTCAACAGTAACACACCTGTACTGACACATGGATACACGTCCTTCACCTAAACTCAGTTTGTCACTGTGTCAGTCTGGAGCAGGTGTGACAGTCGGAGTTTACAGCAACAACATGGACGTCTTCTCTTTCCCCAGGATCTGACGACCTCTCTGCCAAACTGTGGGACGTGCGCACGGGGCAGTGCATCTACGGGATCCAGACGCACACCTGCGCCACAGTGAAATTTGATGAACAGAAGTTGGTGACTGGGTCCTTCGACAACACTATTGCATGCTGGGAGTGGAGCACAGGGGCTAAAATCCAACAGTTCCGCGGCCACACAGGAGCAGGTGGGTTTTTCTGAAGATGTCTGCTGCTGGGTTCATTTGTGTTGCACATTTCATTCAGGGACATACAGTGTTTAAATATGATGAAATGAAGCCTGTTGGGACTATTCCTGCAGCTTGGGCCATAAACTCTACAAACTCTGCTTTTAATGGGTATAAATTAAACAACAGCCATTTCCCAATATATAAAAACTACATGAATTCATTTGATGTTCTGACCTTTTAATGATATTTGCAGCTGGTTTTAAAAAGACAAATGTTTTGTGTGTGCTCAGTCTTCAGCGTGGACTACAATGATGAGCTGGACGTGCTGGTCAGCGGCTCTGCAGACTTCTCTGTGAAGGTCTGGGCCCTGTCTGCTGGTGCTTGCCTCAACACTCTTACTGGGCACACTGAGTGGGTCACCAAGGTCAGCTCGCTTTACCCGGTTTCATGGTTTTAGCCTTCAAATGCTCGATGTCTGTTGAAATGTGCATCACGTGTTGTTATCTCCTTTACAGGTGATACTGCAGAAAAGTGAAGTGGAGTCTATGATGCACAGTCCTGGTGACCACATCCTCCTAAGTGCTGATAAGTATGAGATTAAGGTAATGCAGTTTTGATTTTTATTCTCACCTATGAGCTGCTGTACATGAAGGATCCAGAGGATGGAACAAACACTGTGTTTCTCCTGCAGGTTTGGCCTTTAGGGAGAGAAATCAACTGTAAGTGTCTGAAGACCCTGTCGGTGTCAGAGGACCGCAGCATCAGCCTCCAGCCTCGCCTGCAGTTTGACGGACGCTACATCGTCTGCAGCTCTGACCTCGGAGTTTATCAGTGGGACTTCGCCAGTTTCAAGATTCTCAGGTAAAATTTATATGTGACGACACGTATTTGTCTCTTTGTGATGAAGTAATGAATCCTATTGTGTAGTGTGTGTGCATTAGGCAAAAATGTCAGTTTATGTTTTTTGTGGGCAGCAGATGTCACAAAGTATTAAACAGCACTAGTTAGATAAAAGAGACTAAAACAGAACAGAAGGACAAAACAACGGACACAATAGAAAAATGTGTCCATGTCCCAGTCTTCACAAATCAGTGAAAAAGAACAAGCGATTCTGCTCCTCTGCTCCGTCTTAATCACAGGTAGAGCTGATCTTTATAATAACCTTGTGAAGAACCCCCCACCCCCCCATTCACTGAGCAGCTCAGAGGCTACCGGCAGCTACCGAACACTTTTAAGGTGGAACGTTTTCTTGAGTGTTACTTGATGTGTGATTGATGTTTGGAAATCAATCAATACACCTTAAATGTCAATATGAGAATTTTGACCACTTCATTTGTTTTTATTAGTTCTCTACATAACAACCACTTTAGTGATGATCGGATCTTCAAGCTCCTTAAAATGAAGATAAATATCAACAGGATTATTTGAACTGTAGATATTTTACTTCATCAGGAGAATAAAAGTAGCGGAGCGTCTTTCCGGTGGCTGCGGCAGCTCTACACCTGTGGTTCCACCACAGTGTTGCATGCGGTACAAGACTATTTAACCCGCTGTGGTGCAAAACATCTGGGAATTGCTTTACACGGCCTTTAACAGTCATTTTTGTTGGTAAATGTGAGACGTTCATGTCACACATGTCTACAGCTTCACAACATGCTCCATAATCAGAAACAAGGAAATGAGTTTGGTGACGTAAATCTAGGTTTTGCGCAGGGACTGGTGTGATTGGTTCAGCTATTTGATCAGATATTTGATCGAATTTGCGGAAAAGTTGTGTTGATTGGACAAAAATGCAAGGTTCCACAGATTTCATGGGGATTGGTTGAATTTGCGTTAATTATTCCGATTGCGACATCGCAACATTCTGGAGGGACATTCTGGAACATAGTCTTTCACATCAGAGTTTAATGACAGCAAATTCACTTTTTTAAGATTAGTAAACTGTATATAATTCTGGTTTATGAGTTCCATTACAATAGTAGTTCTTTGTCTTACTGAATTATGCCCTGTTAGAAATCACTGGACTCCACATCCCTTTAGTGGAAGGCAGTGTCACATTCACTAATAGATTCCTCCTGATAGACAGAGACAGTGGAAGTCCAGCTGTTGTGCTGAGTTCCATGTACCACAGGACTCAGACGTGTTGACCATGTTCAGGTACAAGTCAGAAGCTTGTTATTGTTGTTGTGTGCTTGTTGTTGATATTGTTAGCAATACCAGTTGTTAACAAAGCATTACGTTTTAACACTGTAGCAACATGTCCAAAGAGGAAAAGATGTAGAACTTTGTGTTCAATACATCAACTGTTTTCCACTGTTGCAATGTAAAACAATGCAAATGCAAACCAAAACCTTAAAAGTGAGTTTTCTTTATGTTTCATCACAGGAACTTTGTACAAGAGAAGTGTGTTATATTATTTAAGAATATGATCAGACTCTATGTTCTGCTGTTCCCAGGGTGATAAAAACACAGGACCCAGCCAACCTGTCCCTGCTCAGCTACGGCGAGGTGTTCGCGCTCCTTTTTGACAACCACTTCCTGTATGTGATGGACCTGAGGACAGAGGCCATCTCGGGCCGCTGGCCTCTACCCGCTTACAGGAAATCCAAACGAGGATCCAGCTTCCTGGCCGGCGTCACCTCCTGGCTCAATGGGCTGGACGGGGGAAATGACTCTGGACTGGTTTTTGCCACCAGCATGCCCGACCATAGCATTCACCTAGTACTGTGGAAGGAGAACGGGTAGACGCCAGCAAGGACTCCAAACAACAGACTGCGAGGATCTGAGCCACCGTCACGTGTGCTCTGGAGTATATGAACCTGAACAGCCAAGATAGATCATGCATGGACCAAAGCATTTTATTTTTATCTGTTTCTTCCTCAGAACAGAGTCCTTCTCTGGACACACATGAACAATCACAGATGGACGTGGAAACTGAGACAGATGAGGAAACTGTTACTGATGTGCTTCATCCTGGTCTCTGCAGAAACCTTAAAACCTCTCACTGGTCTCCTGATCCTGGACACAGACAGCCAGAAACCTGAGATGTGTCAGCAACAACAAAACAAACACAACCACACAAAGTCTCCTGTATAAGACTTAAACATGGAAGTGAAAGTTTTTGGCAAATTTGCTCTTTGATCAGTTTATAAATGTGCAGTGAGAATATTTGTAGCCAAACTTAAATCCAGTGCAGTCATTGGGTGCCAACTTTGGCCGCTGACCTTTTCATACCAGGATGAGACTGTATGTCAGACGTGCTGTAACTGGAGCACGCCTGACGCCATGCTGGTCACTGAGCTGATTTGCAGAAACATTGTTTTCGTAGTAGAAAAGCAGGGTTGCCTTAAACACAGTGCTGTAAATAATGGAGAACATCTTCTTTGATGTGAAGGGAGATGTTCCCCAGGGTTTTTACAGACCATCCCAGAGGAAGCTGTATCCTGAAGCGTACGTTAAAAAGTGGTGTGGTACATTGTTGTGTACCATGTAAAACATTGTGAGGTTTCATGTGATTCCACTAAGGATGTCTGGTTTAAATGTCGGCTTGAGAAATGTGATGTGCCTTTTCAGTTTGTTTGATGTTGCAGACAAGAATTCCTCGATGACTCCGGCACGTTGCAGCGAGGCGACGACTGTATTGTTGTAAATCTGACTTTTATGTTGAATTTTCCATATTTACTGTGCTCTAACAGTCTGAGATGTCTGTAATTTTATAGCTATCTACCTGACTTGACTTGCTCAGTGAAATTGCTTTTATGAATCATTGACTGTGTTGAACATCAGGTTTATTTTTCTAAAGGCCTCAATGCATTGCACAGCAGAGGAAGTGACTCCACACGTAGTTGGTTCTGTGCAAAATGACTATTTTACACTTAAGAAGAGAATCTGAACAGATGATTTTCCCGCTGTCGCCTCATTCTGTGCATCAGTTTAACATCATGTCTGCAAAACTCAAACTTTAACCCACTGATGTCTGCCTTTACTTTGGCGGGCTACAGGTCACAAAAGATCAAACTGTATTCATATGCACCAAACCTCATTTATGACACATAAGTTTTTCTTGTATTCAGACTGTAACGTGTTTCACACACGGATAATTGTACCCAGCAGATGTACAGACTGTTCTTAGTTTAGGTTTTTCAAATCTAATTAAAACAACACCAAAATACTGTATCCTGAACTGTTGTCTGACCACTGCACCACAGTTTGCCCCCCCAGCAGCTCTCAGCTAAAAACAGTAACATCATTTGTATATAAAGTGATAAAAAATGAAAAATGTGGCACATACAAGTTTTTGTTGATGAGTCTCTTCATAGTAACTGCCATTACTTCCAAGCACTGTACAGTGTTATTTCACAAAGGCTCTTTGGTCACCTGCACCCACCTACAGTCTGCTTCAATACTACAGTCTTTCAAATAAATCAAAGTAGCAAATGCACCTTTGTTGTGTCTGTATTTGGTCAATCCAGCATTCTAAAACAAGTTGGTTTAAAATGTTATTCTGTCCAACTTTACAATGGATAATGTTTTCTCTTCCTTTTAAAGATGTGTCAGATGTACAGTATATATATATATAAACAAGACACACAGACTGGTTTATTATTCTTAACAATTTCACACAGCCCTGAAAAATGATGTGTGTGAAACTACAGGTTTGTATTCACGTATTGTGTATCTGTATTATGAATGAATCGTGGTTTATTTAGTAGCTTTTCATGGTGTGACTGATTTTAGATAGATAGATAGATAGATAGATAGATACTTTATTTATCCCGTAGGGGAAATGTATGTGTCCATTAGCTAATTGTTGATAATAATAATAATAATAATAATAAAAAGTTAATAATAAATGAACAATAATAATTAGATTAGTCCACTTCCTCTGGCTGAGGTGTTGTATAGCCTGATGGCAGTGGGAACAAAGGATCTCCTGAACCTCTCTGTTCTGCAGCGCAGTGAGATGAGACGTTTGCTGCACCTGTAGCTGCTTCTCTGTCCTGCCAGAATGTTGTGGAGAGGATGGTTGGTATTGTCCAAGATGGCCTCCATCTTCCATTGCATGGGTCTCCCCACAACAGTCCTGAGTGAGTCCAGACTCCTGCCAAGCACAGACCCAGCCTTTTTTTACAACCTTATCCAGTCTCCTTGTGTTCATGTCTGACATGCTGCTAGCCCAGCAGATTGCAGCATAAAAGAGTACACTGGCCACCACTGACTGATAAAACATGTGCAGCGTTTCACTACAAACGTCAAAGGACCTGAGCTTCCTGAGGAAAAAGAACCAGCTCTGCCCCTTCAGGTAGATGGCATCAGTGTTCAGGGACCAGTCCAGTTTACTGTCCAGGTGCACACCTAGGTATTTATAAGTGTGCACCACCTCAATGTCCTTCCCTCAAATGTTGACTGGCTGAAGGGTGGGCCTAGACCTCCGAAAGTCCATGACCATCTCCTTGGTCTTGGAGGTGTTCAGAAGGAGGCAGTTCTTGTCGCTCCATTCACTGAAGGCCATCGTCAGATCCCTGTACTCCTCTTCCTGCCCGTTAGTGATACGGGCAGGAAGAGGAGTGTCAGCCAAGTATTTGCGGATGTGGCAGGACTCAGAGTTGTATTTAAAGTCGGCCATATACAGGGTGAACAGGAACGGAACCAGAACAGTCCCCTGTGGAGCCCCAGTGCTGCTCATCACTGTCCCTGAGACACAGTTACCCAGCCTGACGTACTGTGGTCGTCTTGTCAGGTAATCCACAATCCAGGACGTGAAGCAGGGATCCACCCCCATCCCTTCCAGCTTGTCTTTAAGGATGGGGGGTTGGATGGTGTTAAATGCACTTGAGAAATCAAAGAACATAATCCTCATGTAACTACCTGGCTCATCCAAGTAAGAATGGGCCCGGTGGAGCATGTAAAGGACGGCATCATCCACTCCACTCCACTCTAGTGCAAGTTCAACCTGTGGCCTCAGAAGGTGGAGAAGCAGCTGCTCCAGGTCTTCATGATGTGTGATGTGAGAGACACTGGTCTCTAGTCATTTATCTCAGCTGGTCGTCCTACTTTAGGGACCGGAACAAGACATGATGTTTTCCACAGGACCGGGACCCTCCCTGTGTGAAGGCTTAAGTTAAAGATCCTCTGGAGAGGTTCAGTCAGCTGGGCTGCACAGTCCTTTAACAGCCCTGGACACACACCATCTAGGCCTGTTGCCTTTCCAGGACGTAGTCTCTTAACCTCCACCCTCACCTCCTCCGCTGTAAAGGACAGGAGACTTGACCCCAGTGTGGAGGGAGCTGCAGCTGCAGTTTCAGGTTGTGGAGGAGATGCAGTAGGAGAAGCTGCAGCTGAAGCAGTGGGAGAGAGAACAGGTGAGGCTGTGTCAAACCTGTTGTAGAACAGGTTGAACTCATTGGCCTTGTCCACATCACCTGATGTTGCTTGGCTGTTCTTCTCTTTATAGCCAGTGATGGTCCTCATCCCCTTCCACACCTCTCTGGTGTTGTTGTGCTGCAGCTTCCTCTCTACTTTCTTTTTGTAGTCCTCCTTCGTCTGCTTTAATCTCCTCTTCAGCTCATGTTGCACACACCTGAGCTTCTCCCTGTCTCCATCCCTGAAGGCCTCCTTTTTCTGGTTGAGGAGGGTCTTGATGTTCCTGGTGATCCAGGGTTTGTTGTTTGGAAAGCAGTGTACAGTCCTTGCTGGTATTACAGTGTCCATACAGAAGTTCATGTAGTCTGTGGTACATTCAACCATTCTATCAAGGTCAGGGTCCTTGTTTTTATCATTTTCCTGTGTCTCCAACAGGACATTCCAATCTGTGCACTCAAAACAGTCTTTTAGAGACTCACTGGCCTCTGGGGTCCAGTTCCTGAATGAGTGGGTGGTTGCAGCCTGCCTCAGTACACAGGGCTTGTAGGAAGGCTGAATAAAAACCAGATTATGATCTGATCTGCCAAGTGGTGGTAGAGCTGAAGCAGTGTAGGCCTCCTTGACATTTGAATACAACAGATCCAGTGTCTTATTTTCCTTGTGGGACAGTCAAAATATTGAGTGAAGCCAGTCAGGTGAGAGGTGAGAGTGACGTTGTGAAAATCCCCAGATATTGCAATGAATGCATCAGGGTGCTGGGTCTGTCCTCTCGCAACAGTCTTGTGGATGACATCACGCGCAACTGCAGGCTCTGCTTGTGGTTGAATGTAAACAACAATGGCGATAATGTGTGAGAACTCCCTCAGTACATAGTACGGTCTAAGACCAACTGCCAACAGTTCAATATCCCGACAGCAGATCTTGTCGCCCGTATCTAAACCGGCATTGGGGATAATGGACTTCACCGTGCTGGGTAGCAGAAATCACTACACTTCGAGGTACTTTGCTCGTGACCTCATTACCACCTTGAACGTGCATTAATTTCTAAAACCGAAAAGCTGCGTCATCCATTGTCCCTTACTTATCCGTTTCATGCCAATTTTAGTAAACCTAGAGCCTATTTAACTGAAGTTGCATACTGTCTTTTACAGAAGAAGCATGGACTCAAGACATATAGTGAACTCACTGTGAGAGCCTGCAAGAGAAAAGCAGAGGCTGGTACATCTTCATCAAGACTAAAACAAATGGAGCTTGAGGAGACAAGTCAAACAAAAGTCAGTTGACCATGCAGTACTAAACTTTATAGTTAAAGGTGTCTTTCTCCCTTGTTGAACAATCATCATTTCAAAGCCTTGTCTAAAATCTCCAGCCAAATTGCACTGTTATGTTTCGAAGCACTGTGCGGCGCAAGATTGATAAAGCCACAGCAGTGATGAAGGAGCAGGTGAAAGAAGCAATGAGGACGACTGCATACATTGCCACAACAACTGATTGCTGGACTGCAAGGAGTTTCATCTGAGTTACAGCACATTGGCTGGATGCCAGCACTTTTGAGAGGCATTCTGTTGGTCTTGCATGCAAGTGGTTGAAGGGTGCTCATACATTTGATCTCTTGGCAGGTGCAATGAATGACATACACTCAGAGTGTGAAATTCGTGACAAAAAATAGTCAGAACCACGACTGATAATGGCTCAAACTTCCTCAAAGCATTTTGTGTGTTTGGAGAAGATGAAAACAACAATGTTACCACTAAAGAGGTAGTTGAGGAAGAAGGAAGATGGGCCTGATGATGAGGAGGTGGAAGTAGAATTCATCAGTGTTGAAGCCATTATGGCTGAAGATGATAGACTTCAGTACCAACTGCTGAAGCATCATCGGTGCGCTTGTCATTTGCTAAATTTGGTTTCTAGAGTGGATGCCAACAATGCAAATAGGACAGAGGCCTACAAGAAGCTGTCACAGTCAGCCTTCTCCAAGTCTCACACTCTCTGGAGTAAGTGGTGAAGGTTTGTTTGTGTCTTTCGGTTTCATTACCCACAGTAATATTTACCTCTATGGTGAACCTGTGAAGAGATCTTCAAAAATGTTATTGTATTTACTTTTTTATGATTGAAAAATAATGTATGTTCGATTTATTACAATAATCACTTACCTTGATAGATCTAGTTCTGAAACTTTTCACATGATGAAAAGAAAGGATAAGGAGCAATTACAAAACATCCCGTCTAATCTGAAATAACTGGTGTGTTAGATTACATATAACTGAACGCATAGCAGTCCTATGTAGAAGAACATGTTTTCTTTTCTTTTGTGTGGGTCAGGTACAGTCCAGCTGACATTGCCTTTTTGGTGAATATACCAACACCATGAGTGCAGTTGCCAAGGCAATAAATATACTACAGGGAGAATCCAACATTCAGATGGGATGGCTGCTCCCCACTATCACCACCCTCATGGTCAAGCTTGAGAAAAGTGTCGCTGAGATTCTGCGAGCAGCTAGTTGATTTCCTGTAAAGCGGTTTAAAGAAATGGTTTGGGGAAATGACATCTGACCCAGAGCTGCGTGCTACAGACATACTTCATCCATAATTCAAAACTTCTTGGATCAGTGATTAAGACATCCTCAAACTAGGTAAGAAGAAAACTATCACTAAGTGTCCCATTTCACTTCTTAAAACACTGAACTTGTATACTTGTGTACTTACTTTTTTGATGATGACGATAAAGATAAAGATAATAAAAATGTATTGTTTCTGATTTAGGTCTCATTTACATCAAGGAGCATCTTCCTGACCATGACGAGCCTCTGCTGAAGCCTACTGACAACTCTTCAAGCTCTTCAAATATGAAGCATGTACACGCATAGGAAACAACCAAACAACTGGATGCATACCTGACATGTACAGCTGGTATACATATACAGTGGGGCAAAAAAGTATTTAGTCAGCCACCAATTGTGCAAGTTCTCCCACTTAAGAAGATGAGAGAGGCCTGTAATTTTCATCATAGGTACACTTCAACTATGAGAGACAGAATGGGGG